ATAAACCCTAAGAAGCAAACTAATGGTGTAAACCTGTGATATTTCCTTGTACAATACAATTTTTTTTTAAATGAAGTCTTTTTAAATTGTTTTAAGACAGTGGAAAAGAAAAAAATCAAAAGTTGAGCGAAAAATCTAAAATTCTAAAGAGAATATTTTTCCATATATGTATAATTTAAAAATGCCGAATATTGAAAAAATTATGTTAGCATTCGTAGTATTTAAATATAATGTTTAATATATTAAATGTAATATTCAGATTTTAAAATATATTTAAAATGTGTTTAAATTCAAAGAATGAGACTTTAAAGACTACTTAGATCTCTTTAAATATCACAATCTGGGGAATAAATGTGGAATTTTGGATTAAATAAAATATTAAAATTCATCTGACAATGTTTATTGTTAAAGTTACATTTAACCAAAAATTTAAAACAAAATCCGTCTGCGGTTCGTCTCATTTTTTTTGGTAACACTGTAATTTGAAATCAAATATTTTACATCAAGGGACTGTTGACGTATTTTCAAGTGATCCATTATTTACAGAGTGTTGTGCACATTTCACAACGCTAAATTTTAGTAGATTGTATCGTATAATATATATGTCTTTTTTAATTTTCTTTCTTTTTCTCTGTCGATAAAAATCTATTTTCAAAGAGGAAAACAAGGATAAGGATGAAGCATTGTGAATAGAATCACTTTATAAATTTGAGGTTTGAGGGTCACTTAAAATTATGTTATCAGTCCCTTATGCAAATTCTTTAGGATTCATTTGAGACATGTAAAACTTTTCCACGATGTATAATTACTGAGTTTGAGTCACCCCGAACTAACCAGAGTGAGCAGCATTCGGTTTCTTCTATTTGAAATCAAACATGCTTTGGTCTAAAATTCAGTAATCTTTTATATTTGGTTATTCTATACTTTTTCATTCAAAATGTATATGCCGACAAAAAAGTATTCAGGAAAAAATGCAAAGAAATTATGTTTAATGAGTCAAATTGTGATCTAAAGTCAGAGCTTTCTGGAGTATTGAAAGAACCGTTAAATCCACGTGGAGTGCATAGTCGACTTTCAAAATCATGAATTTGGGTGGATACGTTTAAAAAATCGGTTTTTTAAAATTATTAAATAACGACGACGAAAAATAAGGTAAAAATTATACAGTAAACTAATTAGATGGTTTGGAACATATTTCTCAAAAGAAATTTGTCAATGAATCTATGCTAGAATCAATTACTTCGTTTTCATCATTATATTAAATTTCTTATTTTCTATGAATTTATTCGCTGATTTCTACAAATTCTTCAAATGTCGTGTTTTCAATAATAGTTCTAGAAAATCCGCATTAAATCTTTGTGAATAATCAGAGAATATAGAAACTAATAATTGAATAAGATTATTTATTTTTGATGATAAGTCTAATTTTTAGTTTCTCAACCTGTTCCTAAAAAACTAATTAGTTTACTGTAGAATTTTGTTTACATTTTTTGTCGTCGTTATTTCATAATTAAAAAAAACAATTCTGAAAACGTATCCACCCAAAAGTACGATTTTGAACGTCGACTTTGCGCTTAAACTCAGGATTTACAGATCTTTAAAAAGTTTTATATGTCTCAAATAAATCCTTAAGAAAATTCTCCACAATACTACATTCTTAGTTCAACTAATACCGTACATTGCCATTGAAAATGTGCAAATCAATAATCATTTGTATCGGAATGTATCCTACCTATATCAAAATGTACCTGTATCGGAATGTATCCAGAATATCTCGAAAAATAGTTCTCTGTTGGACTCCAGACCCTACTTCTGTACTCAAGTTTATATTCGGGTTCATCTACATAAAAAAATAATCAATTTATTTGTAATTAAAATTTACATAACACCAAATAAAAAGTTTAAAATCCAATCCAAGTTCAAAAACGGTGTACGGATTGTTTATTGTTCACAAATATCTCTAAAAAGTATTAGATGACAGGGAACAGTTCTAACAAAACAATAACAACTATTGTAAACAAAGGACATACTTTATCCTGGTAGGGCAGATAGGCTTAGTTTGTAAAATCATTTTTCTTCCTTTCAAACACGTTATCCAGTTCAAAATATATCACAAATTTTAACATTATAGATCATAATCTTTACTACAGTGCTTAGGATCCATTTAATTTAGATTCGGACCCGGATCCTGGATCCACCCTGTATCCAGGTCATGAACATTAACTTAATACCGCTGCAAGTCCTATCTACCCCAATTGGAGTCGGTATGAATTTCTCTAAAATCAAAATGGGAAAAATTATTTTCTTTTAAACCACTCTAAAACCATTATGATGGCAAATGAAACAAGTAAAACACTTAAAAGCATTAACTTGCAAGACTCAATTAAGTCCCTATTCATATATGCATTTATCAAATTCTGACATCCAAGAAGCTGGAATTGAGTACATTTTAGGTTGGGTCACATTCCCTACAAACCAGCGAATCAAAAAATAGTAAATCTACGTTAAAATATTTATCATTGTATTGATTTAACGCTGTTAAGTACTTTCGTAAGGCATTTTCCCAAGCGGCAACTTCCCAAGGGTATTTTCCACAGTGGCATTTTCCCAATTGTGCAATTTACCAAGCAGAAACTTCCCAAGTCTGTCCCCTAGCTGTAGAACTCGGCCCCATTGCAGCCTGCGGCAGCGCCTCAGAAGGCTTCACCTAACCGTTGGGAAGTTCTCGCTTAGTAAATTGCACATCTGGGAAGTTGACACTTGGAAAATTGTCACTTTGGAAGTCGCCCTTGAGAAAATGCTTTTAGGAAAGTACCTAACACCGATTGATGAACTAACCTGTCTCTTTATGTATTTTGATTGGATACTTCTTATCAAAGTTTACACTATTGTATCCTGTAGTCTGGTTATACTTTACTAGAAACATCTGGGCCTCAGCACTCAAGTATACATCCAGGGATCCTAGTACAAGAGTATTTTTAATCATCTATTGTTTATTTCTATTGTCTATAGTCTATTGACTATCAAATTTTGTCTATCGACTTTCGTCTATTGACTTTGTCTATCGAATTTTGTCTATGGACTTTTGTCTATCGACTTTTGTCTATGGACTTTTGTCTATCGACTTTTGTCTATCTACTATCGACTATCCTCTATCGACTATTGTCTATCATCTATTGTCTACTATCTATCAACTATTGTCTATTGTCTATCATCTATCGTCTATGATCTATCTTCTATCCACTATCGTCTATCGACTATTGTCTATCAACTATTGTCTAACGACTATCATCTATCAACTATAGTCGATAGACTATCGTCTATAACTATTGTCTATTGACTATCGTCTATCGATGATCGTACATATCGACTATCGTCTATCGTCTATTGATTATCGAGTATTGTCTATCGTCTATCCACTATTGTCTAACGTCTATCGTCTATCTACTATTGTCTATCAACTATCTTCTATCAACCATCAACTATCGTTTATTGTCTATCGTCTATCAACTATAGTCTATTGTCTATCGTCTTTTGACTATTATTTTTCGATTATTGTCTTTCGACTATCGTCTTTCCACTTTCGACTATTGTCTATTCTATTAACTATTGTCTGTCGACTATCGTCTGTCGACTATCGTCTGTCGACTATCGTCTGTCGACTATCGTCTGTCGACTATCATCTGTCCACTATCGTCTGTTGACTATCAACTACCGTCTATCAACTATTGCCTATCGACTTTCGTCTATTGGCTATCGACTATTGTCTATCGTTTATCGACTATCGTCTATCGACTATCCTCTATCGACTATCGTCTATCGATTATTGTCTATCGTCTATCGTCTATCGTCTATCGTCTATCATCCATCATCCATTGTCTATCAACTATTATCTATTGTCTATCGTTTATTGTCCATCTATCGTTTATTGTCTATCGTCTGTAGTCCATTGTCTATTGTCTATTGTCTATTGTCTATTGGCTATTGTCTATTGCCTACTGTTTATCCGTTACAGAAAAATACTTGTTCATTTATTGTCTATCATATATCTATCCTAAATGTCTGTCCATTGTCAATTTGTCCATACGTCTATTCTCTATTGTCTATAATCTATTTTCAATTGTCCAAAGTCTATCGTCAACTGTCTATCCTCTATCTTCTTTTGTCTATTATCTATTTGATATCGTCTTTCCTAAATTGTCTATTATGTTACTATTTATTACCTTCAGTAACATCAATGATGATTTTAATATCAACATTTCTAAACTTGGGTTGTACAGCATACAGTACAGTATCACCTGGCCTGCATTAGAACAACAAATCAATATATTCAATCTTTTCAAAACAGGCTTTTGTGTTTTACAGTTATTCAACAAATTATAAGTGTGTATAAAAAATAAAAAATTTGGCATAAAAGGCAATTATGTTTAATATACTTTCCCCCCAGCAAAAAGAATTTACCCCAAAAAATCATATATTTTCCCCAATTAAGAGAATAAAACTCTAAACAAAATTTGTTGTGCTCTGCGTTAACAACTTTATTTTTGACAGAAGAAAATTGATTTAAAGCGGGGAAATATTTTACAAGAAAATGTACACCCAAGACATTTAAAATCGAGGTCAAGCGTTTAAGGTTATCGAATAAAGGTACTTCATACAATAAACCTACCTCAGAACACCAATTATTACCATGAATATCATTAAAGCTACCTGAGAGGTTTAACAGATCCACTGCATGAGTCTGCAACTTCTTCATCCATAAAACAGTAATCATGGTCAACAGACATAGAACGGAAACACTAGAATCCCATCAGTATTATTCATTACTTTCATTAAACTTTATTCTATATCTCATTCTTCTCCAGTGTCACATTGCCAATGATATTGAATAGAAAGGAGCTGATTAATCGCTTACCCAACTTTCTAATCCTGTTATCTTTGCAACCTGATGGTGAAACTTTTGATATTTAAACTTAGATTGTAATTTAAATATCTTTAAAGATCTTCAACATCATAGGCAGCCTAGGAATCCTAGGCTTTTCAGGATTCAACACACAAAATTTTCACCTCTAGGTTTCCAAGATAAGGATTAAAATATTAGAGTTTATGGCGCTCAAGTCTTTCAAATTCAAGTTAAATCATAAATTCACAAGGGTTTTTTAATCCAAAGAGATGTATAATGAATAAATTTATTCCTGGTGTCCATCTACAGGATCTCCAATATAGAATTCTTTACATCTACTGCACTGTTTTCTCCAACATGTGTCTCCATTACCTCCAGCCTATGTGTACAATATATTTAATCTGTACAGTTCTACAGTTACACTGTACAATTGTACAGTTGAACTCCAGACTTTACTACATCTTATATTACTGCTTTTTCAAACATGTGTCTCCATTACCTCCAGCCTATAGTGTTTAAGATGTACCTTAGACTAATATACATTTGTACATATATCTATTATATATAACTGTTTTATTCGAAATGTCTCCATTTCCTGCAGCCCTATTTGTACAATACATTTAATCTGTTTACTATAAAGTTGTACCTTAGACTATAATACATAATACTTATTTCTAAATGAAACATAATGTCGATACAATAAAACTTCAAATCATGTTTTGAATACTTATTTTCTCATAATTATTTCTATTAATATATAACTGCTTTCTTCAAAATGTAAAGGATGTCCATTATAAATTGAGACTTTCTTAAAACTGCTTATAAAATAGCAAATTGACCAATATGAAAATGAAAAAAACCCGCAAAGATCAGCCACCTGTGCCCTGTGAACAAACTGGTTTTATATTTCAGAATATTCTATCATAAAGAAGATAAAGGACATGAAAGAGAAGAGGATGAAAATGCTTTTTGGCGGGTTATACATCAAAAACTAATGTCTGCAAGAGATTCACAATTGAGTACTTCCTTGCTACATGGGCTTCAATAAGGACCATCTACTTAACACTGATGTATCAGGAAGGTTCAGGGAAAAAAGAAAAATTGGAACTGGTCGGAAAGCTGAGAAATTACCTCCTTCAGTAGTGAAATAGTGATAAATGAAGCTGTATGAAGAGAGTCCCAAAGAAATATGGCAACTAAGTAAAAAAATTAAAGGAATAAAGCCCTTCAAAGCCCGGGGTAAAGCTAACAAATCTGGAACAAGGGCTTTACCCTAACGCACAGAATTTTTTCCTGATTTTGGGTCATCTTCAATTGTTATTGAATTGTAATTCCTATTTTCCTGTGAAGGTTAAGGGCTTATCGAATAAAGGTACTTGATACAATAAACCGACCTCAGAACACCAATTATTACTTTTAGGATAAAAGTATCAAAAAGGATGAACGGGACAGTAAGCTCAAAAATATCCATCTTTTCCTCCATTCTATCGATTTGTTTCTGTAAAATATTGAATATCCAAATAATGTGATATCTATGAAATGTCTTATTCATTTTATGTCCTACATAAAAATGTCACATGTCTATTAAAATGTCCAAACCCTATTTATAAATCTTGTCAATTCAGACAAAGAATATGAATAAATAAAGACTGACATGAATCTATAAATCATTAATGAAAGGAAAATTATTTTTTGAGATTTATAAAATCCTTTTGGTTTCTCAGCATGAAACATTCTCTTACATGATAAAAATACTATTAACTAGATGGTAGAAGATCAAGGAAGGTATAGAATTTTACAGGGGTGTATATTTTTCATACTATTTTTCTGAAAATTTCTTAACTATTTTTCACCAATATCTCTAGTTTTTTTTTAGATTGCGTGCTAATTGTTTTTTACTGGTTTAAATTTCTGAATTAAAGAAAATTTGTAAATTTTAAAACAAAATACACAGGTATTAAAAATTATGAAAAAAGTGCCTGTTGAGGTCAAATTTTTCATTTCCTTAATCAATTCTGATATCATTTACACCTGAGATTGTAGATAGACAGTATAGAATCCATGATATTATGACTTACATTGTACTAAAACGGAATTTAGTTTTTCCAAAATCTTAAATTTTTAATCCCTATATATATATGCAACTTGATATTTCAAACTTAATTATTTTATCCAACAGAATTCATAGTTTAAAATATCAAAGGTCTATGACGTTGGTTTGCAAAGATATAGGGATTAGAAAATCAGAATTTGTGACAAAGACTCAAATTCTTTGTTTTGCTTAAAATATTGATATTGGACGTGGGTCATAAATGTCTAATTGAAATTAATTTGAAGAAAAATGTTTCTACCTTCCATACATTGATGACACTGTTCTCCTTTAGTGTTATTTTGACAGTTCACACAAAGGGTATTTCCTTTACTTCCGACCTCAGACAATCTAAACAAATATTCCATTAATTTATCAAAAACAAATTCTGAATCTTGCCCAATTTCACTTTTAATAGTGGAAGCAAGATTGAAATTCTGGTTAGTTTTCAGGGGACATTTAATTTCTTAAATTTAAGTTTTTGAAGGTTTAAAAAATGTATTTTTTTCATTAGGTGCCATTTTTTAGTTCATCGTTTATCACTGTAAACCTACAGTATTGCTACTTAGAAAAATATTTTAGAAGCCTTTCAATTTTAATTTAGAAAAACCACATTTAGAAATCTTTGTCAGAAATTAATTTTAGGTAAGTGTAGGTTCAAACCATGCTGGTTATTGTTCACAACTCTCCTGTATTTGATGAAACTGCCAAAAATAATAATGGATTAATATTATGAGAGTTTATTAGTTCTGTGTCTACAAGTTTGTATGGATAAATGAGCACATGAAGGTTTATTAATTCATTAAAGAGACTGTACACATAATTTCAATTTGTAGAGTGGATTTGTAAAGAGACTGTACACATAATTTCAATTTGTAGACTGGATTTGTAAAGAGACTGTACACATAATTACAATTTGTAGTGTATTTGTAAAAGGACTGTACACATAATTTCAATTTGTAGAGTGGATTTGTAAAGAGACTGTACACATAATTTCAATTTGTAGACTGGATTTGTAAAGGAACTGTACACATAATTTCAATTTGAAAAGTGGATTTGTAAAGAGACTGTACACATAATTTCAATTTGTAGAGTGGATTTGTAAAGAGACTGTACACATAATTTCAATTTAAAGAGTGGATTTGTAAAGGAACTGTACACATAATTTCAATTTGTAGAGTGGATTTATAAAGGGACTGTACACATAATTTCAATTTGCAGAGTGATTGTCTGATTCACAACAGTACTCTTTAAAGCTTTGAACGCTATGAAGGAACCAAAATGAATGAAATATCTATGCTTCCAACTTGAATCTTTTCAATTGTGGTTTCTTTATTAGTGGCTTGTAAATTTCTCATTTTTTGCTTCCGATACGTTAGAGAACAATTAGAATTAATCAATTTGTCAAGGTAGAAAAATATATATATTCAACGTTAATGATTAGATAAGGGTTTAAAGGGTACTATTGTTTATTGGGTAAGGAAGGTCACATGAAATTACGAAGACAGTCCCTTTAACGTCCTCCTCCATGGTAGGTAATTAATATTAGTGAAAGATTTACTACAGGTCCTAGTTGCTGGCAGGACCCAGGGTTAAATATTGGAAACATAGGAAACCAATATTTCATGTCTGATAGAACAGGGTGTCACAAAAAATGGCAATACTCCTGTTGCATGTTTTTTTTATCATAACTACTCTTATTGGAGGAAATATAATTAGAAAAAACTAAACCCAAATAATTTTGTTTTCTTACACTTGATCATAGAATAAAAACTAGAAGCACCACAAGGCCGAAAAGTAGTACTAGCAAGTTCACTTTATTTTCAACTTTTTCTTAAATTTCTTTGTTGATTTTCTTTAGGCAACCTGTTAGAAAGATAGATAAAACACAAAATAGATAGGTGGAGATCAAAATATTCAACTAACAAAATTAGGACATTAAGTGATTTTTAGAACAAAAACCATACCAGCATAGTTTTCAAAACTTTTAGAAAATGAAACACATGTTTTGGCAAAAACTTTCTGCCCCAATTCTCAAACTAATTAATTTGTACAGAATGTGTAAGTAAATTTAATTAAGTAAACTTAAATTTCAGTATCAGAAATTATGAAATTTACAAAAAAATCCCAAATTATAAATTTTTTTGATTTTTGTAAAATTTTTTGTGTAATGTGAAACTAACTCAAATTCAAATTCATTAAATTCGAACCCAGATTTAATAAATAGCAAAACATAGTTGAACCGTGAAGATATAGTTTAACCACTTTTTTCAGCTTCAATTGGTGAACAAGAGATTTGATAAGGTTTCTTTTACTTTATTTTGTGGAAAAAAGGTAAAATGTAAAACTTAAAAACTTTATTATTTTATCACAATATAAATCCTTGCTTTCTGTTATTCTTTATTCAAAACTTAATCCACACGTCCAAGAAAAGTATAATAGAGTTTCGTAAGATATCTTGTTCAGCATATTCGTCAGCATATTTGTCAGCATATTCGTCAGCATATTGAGTCAGCTTTACTTAGTTACTTATCTATTCATCCATAACCTCGCAACTTCATTAATTTTTCGATCTAACAGATTTTATAGTTTGAAATATCTAAGACCTACGATATTGGGTTAAGATATGGGGACTAAAAAATCAGAGTTTGTGACTTTGTAGCAAAGACTAAATTCCTTTGAGCAATGTTACACCGGTCTGTTCTCATTCCCTCAGATGATTACAAAACATTTGCCTCATTTGAGCATTTGCAAATGTTCTGGGGGAATAAGATAACAATTTATATATTCACATAATCTTGTAAATGCTATAATGTAGAATACTGGAATAGTTGCTATTTTATCATTTTTATCATTGCTTTAAATATGATTTAATTAATTAATGATGAATTTACGAAATAAAAACCTCATTTGTCTGAAACGTAAAGCGAAAAAAAAACATTTTCAAAACACACTTTTTAATACCTTTTCAGAGTATCCAGTTGGGAGCTAGAGTATTCCAGAACCTCATTCTTCTCAATCTACAATTTATTTTCATTTTTTAGGTTATAAGAGAGAATGTAGACGTAATTACAAGTACCCTTCCATTTAAGCAATATCAGAGTTGATTCACAATAGTACCCCATGTATTTATGTCTGACAAAAGTGATGAACTTATCCTTGTTTTTCTTTCCTTTAAATTGATTTTTCTGTTGCATTGAATTAGCAAAAATTAAAGAAAGAGAAGGCGGGGAGAAGAAGTTGGGAAAAAGAGGGGGAAAAAGGGTAAAATAAGGGAGGGGGGGGTGAAGATAGAATTAGTAGGAATGGGAGAGGGAGATAAAAGGGATGGAAGATTGTAGATAGACAGTATANCACCATCCGCAGGGGGTTTGCTTGAGGCAGGAGGAGCAGGTTCTCATCTCTTTACAGTTCGGGGGGCAGGAGTCTCCTGACTTTAACACCTGGAGAATATTTGATTAGAAAATGGTGTCCAGAATCAGATCCTAATGATTATTGTGATTAATTTTTTAGGGGCAGTAAAGATGAATTAATCTCGTGGGGTGAGAGATGGGTGAGAGGGCCTCAATCTTTTATGACATTTAAAATGGATGGGTGGGTGTATCCCTGTATTGTATCTAGCCTGTATATATAGTAATAGTAATAATAATAATAATAATAATTTCACCTGTCGTATGATTTTGACATTGAATGCAAATATCCAGGAATTGAGGCCCCTGTAAAAAAGTAAAATCACATAACTACACATATACGAACCCCTCTCTTGACGGAAATATTCAGAACACGTTTTTCGTGCAGATTAACGACGATATTTTCCACAAAGTACCGTAAAAATTGAGCATACCCTTCAATGGATTGTCACTTTAAATTCTAACGACATTCAACTTTCCCACATGATATTCATCAAACTAGTATATTTCTCATACATTGTTTCTGTTCAGTGTGTGGAAAGTTTGTACCTCCCACATTATCCAATTATTAGCTGAAAACAATTCCTTTAAAATAATTATTTTCGTACCTGACAATTACTGTTTCCGTTGCAGAGGCACACCAGGTCACACTCTGGGCCGGTGAACCCGAATCCACACGCGCACTCGCCAGGGCGCACACACGTTCCATGCACACAGGGACGCTCACACACCGGTTTACACGCGCCTTCTACCCCACGCACAAACCCAGGGCTGCACTCACATCTAAATTTATAAAAAAATAATAGACTGAGCTTCGTAGGTGAACAGAAAACTAGACAATTTTAAAGCTGGAGAACTTTTGAAAAAACTCTCCTTGAATTTGCAGATGCAGTACAAAGCCAAATAGATAGATACAAATATAAAATAATCATTCATCTTGAACCCTATACATACCTGTATTCCTGTTCTTCCTTATATATACATGTATTCCTGTATTTTATCTAGCCTATATATATATCTGTATCCCTGTATTGTATCTAGTCTATATATACCTGTATCCCTGTATTGTATCTAGCCTATATATACCTGTATCCCTGTATCCCAGTATTGTATATAGCCCAAATATACCTGTATCCCTGTATTGTATCTAGCCGATATATATACCTGTATCCCTGTATTGTATCTAGCCTATATATATATATCTGTATCCCTGTATTGTATCTAGCCTGTATATATACCTGTATCCCTGTATTGTATCTAGCCTATATATATACCTGTATCCCTGTATTGTATCTAGCCTATATATATACCTGTTTCCCTGTATTGTATCTAGCCAATATATATATACCTGTATCCTCGTATTGAATCTAGCCTATATATATATATACCTGTATCCCTGTATTGTATATAGCCCATATATACCTGTATCCCTTATTGTATCTAGCCTATATATATACACATGTATCCCTGTATTGTATCTAGTATATATATACCTGTATCCCTGTATTGTATCTAGCCTGTATATATACCTGTATCCCTGTATTGTATATAGCCCATATAAACCTGTATCCCTGTATTGTATCTAGCCTGTATATATACCTGTATCCCTGTATTGTATCTAGCCTATTGTATCCCTGTATTGTATCTAGCCTGTATATATACCTGTATCCCTGTATTGTATCAATACAGTTTTCTGAACCAGAAAGACATGAATGATGGTCATTAATGCACTCATTCTCTAGAGGACATCTGAACAAATAGAATTATTGATATAGAAAAGAAACACAATATTTTTTGAGGTCAGACCTTCTGAATTGTTAATCCCTATGTGTCTTTATCCATTAAAATCATCGCTCAGCGTATGAGAAATCGCAAGAAACATGTCAGCTGTTTTCTAACAATTAAGTACATAATTGCATCCAAAGGAACTGAGTTTTTGCCATAGACTCAAATTTTCAAATCCCTATATCTTTTCAACCTTTTGGTTTAAACCATTGCCATATCAAACTTAGACTAATTAATCTAATAGAATTGATAGTTTTAAGTATAAAAGGTCTACGACCTTGGATTGCAAAGATAACAGGATTATAAAATCAGATTTTGTCGCAAAAACTCAGATACGTATTAGGGGTATAAAAGATTCCCTATTACAAAAGATAAGACATCTAGATTAATTATAATTTCCCTTCTTTGTACTCATTAGCAAATTATTCCAGTTACTGGTAATATCGAGTAATATGATTAATTAGCTGAAGGCCCGGCGTTGCCCGTGGAAAAAAATTGGGGGAAAAATATGGCGCCGTGACAAACTCCTGAAAGACAAACTCCGGAAAGACAAACTCCTGAAAAGACAAACTCCTGAAAAGACAAACTCCTGAAAGACAAACTCCTGACGAGACAAACTCCTGACGAGACAAACTCCTGAAAATAAAAAATTCTGAAATACAAACTCCATAATATCAGCCGCAGCGCTCGGCCCAGAAAGTGTCTTAACCAACCTAACCCATGGCCGCAGCGCTCGGCCCACTAGCCTGTCCTAGCCGCAGCGCTCGGCCCAGAAAGTGTCTCAACCTAACCTAACCCTAAATAATAAAAAATAAATAATAATAAATTTGCTGGTTATTCTGATCATTGTAATACTTTGCTGCTAGAAGCATATTCAAATTACTAAAGATTGAGAATTTTTCCTAGAATATTTGCGGATTTTTCTTCTAAAGTTTATGAATTTTATCAAATTTCATTCAGAGAAAAATTTCATAATTTCAGGAGTTTGTCTCGTCAGGAGTTTGTCTTTCAGGAGTTTGTCTTTCCGGAGTTTGCCTTTCCGGAGTTTGTCTTTCAGGAGTTTGTCTTTCAGGAGTTTGTCACGGCACCGAAAAATATAGTTCGAAAAAAATAATTTAATGAATCATGGAAAGCTGGAGCTCTCGGCAGACTCTCCGCCTTTCATTTGCCTCGTACAACGATTTAATCTTCCTTCTTCTGACCGTTGGTGATAACTAACTTTCATTTCGATTTTAGCCCAGACCGATCCTATTTCCTCCTACCTTATGTCAAGCCGTGTTTCATTTCTATTGGCTTGAATTTAAAATAGAATACATGGTCCAACTGGGCTTACGTTCAAAGCATGATTTCTGGGTTGGCATTTTCTTAAGGAATAAATCTTCCTACATGATATACAGGGTGTCCCAATAAACATGAGAATTCAGTGACGAATTCGATATCGTCTTTTCAAATAATTCTTTGATTTAGTATAGTGATACCTACTGAGAAAGCTAATCTGAAAGAGCACCGTCTGCTATGTTCACATTTTGTTTGTTTATGTTTTGACTGTATTTACGGTTGTACTTAGTAAAACAAGAAAATTGCAGTATACAAACAGAGTAAACTTGTCCGTTCTGTTCAATGTTCATCTTGCAGAGACATTATAGACACAATACACATCTTTGCAGTCTTTTACCCTTTTCATAAAATAAACTCTAGCAGACATAATAATATTATGGCTTTTGAAATTAGGTATTACAATGCTAATTCATAGCAAAGACGATATCGAATTCGCCACTGAATTCCAATGTTTTTTGGGACACCCTCTACATGAGGCGACTTGTCATCCATCCAACTGCTATCGTTGACTACAGTTTATTTACACGTAAACCTCTCTCCATGCTTACATTGCAATCTGAGCTTATGCTCCGGGTCTGTATGAGGACTTAAAGGGTTACATCAATGGAACTTTCCAATCTGAGTTTAGCTCCGGGTTCGTATGAATAGTGATGGGGTTACATCAATGGAACTATCCCTACCGAGCTATTAAGCTCACACCGGATACAATAAAATACAAACTGCGGTATGTGTGTGATTTTAAATAAAATAAACACGAGTTCTTCAATTCTAGGTGGAGGGGGGACCACCCTCCACTTAGTTGCACTCATGTCTCTAAGAAAATACCAAGATGTAATAATATCTTGTGAATATGTAAATATTGTTGGCAAAGTGTAGATTAACACGCTTTCATTGATTTCCTGGCGATATACTTTATTTAATAACATATATTGGAATATCACATACAATAAATTTCATTTTACCATTTTGCATTATACTTTTCTCAAACGATCTTTAGTATGGCCAACAGAAATTCTGAAGAGAGGGCTACCTTCCAACCTGACTCTGAATGTTATTGTTTCTCAGATTTTTTTTCGTTTTTCTGCACTTCTATACTGGATGATATCATATTTTTGGACCAAGTTTAAGGGAAGGGTATGTAACAAGCAAACAAATTATATATACCTTTAAACTTTAAAGTGAGGGTAATGACCGGAAGGAAGAAAGGCATAAATTTCAAGCAATGAGTTATTGCCACAGACTGAGATTTTCTAATCACTTATATCTTTGCAACCCAATGTCGTAAACCTTATATATTTCAAACTATGAATTTTTTTAGATCAAATAATTTCTAAGTTTGGAATATCAAAAGTTTGCACCATCAATTTCATAAGAAACAGGGATTATAAAATATTAGTTTGAGGCAAAGCTAAGGCTCAATTCCTTTATCTAAAACTATGAAATCACAATACCTTGCGAAGTTCCAGGCTAGCTGGGCTGGATCATTCACTTCCAGGTCTAAATCTGAAAATAAATCCTTTTTTTAACAACTTACTTTTTTTTGTTAACATCAAATAATTGGGTTAAAATATCTAACATCTAATTTAATCTAATCTAATAAGATTAATCTAAAGATGATAATATTAAATAATAATATCAGTAATACATATTTACAAAAAATAAATAATAATAATAATAATAATAAAAATAACAAAAATAATAATAACAATAACAACATTAACAAAAATTATACCTTGTTGCTTCCGCATTACTTCAAGACAACTTCCGGTTTCCGGATTCTCCAAAGTTCCCTTAACAAGTTAAAACCACTAATTAATCATTTAGTTTAATAATGAAGAAATATGTAAAGATTAGATAATAATTTTATGAAATAAACTAACGTTTCAAAGACCCTTCCCTTTCCTCTTTCCTTTCCTCTTTCCTTTC